TTCTAATTTATCCAAATTGCTTTAGGATCTAATTAGGAAACAAATTACGATGAATTAATTTGTATTAAAGATTCTTCTAAAAATTGCACAAACATTATTTCTATATATTTTTACCAATCAAGTCAAGCGTGTTATTTGTCCCTCTAATGGGGGAGGGAAGAAATGTTCTTCTTTGATCACAATTCAGTAATTTATTAAAATTTTATTAAATTTATTAATAAATTTCTAATTTATCCAAATTGCTTTAGGATCTAATTAGGAAACAAATTACGATGAATTAATTTGTATTAAAGATTCTTATAAAAATTGCACAAACATTAATTCTATATATTTTTACCAATCAAATCAAGCGTGTTATTTGTCCCTCTAATGGAGGGGGAGAAATGTTCTTCTTTGATCACAACTCGAAAGGATGATCCGGAAAGGAACTTGGAAGAAAGTTCGTTTGTCACGCCTTTGAGCTGGCGTTGATTCCAAAGAAGCGTGCAAGCGATCCATCATTCTGGACGCGTTCTGAAAACCATTCGGAGCCAATTTCGAAATCACGAATAATTAAACGTCCCCAAAGGGCGACAAAGGTGCTCGTATACGCAGCGATATTACAGTTTTGGACGAGCAAGGGAGAGCAAGTTATTCCGTCTTGGAACGATCTCGTCGCCATTGTTCGCATTCCACTGAGCGCCATCCAACGGCGAGAAAGTAATTAATGGCGCTGCTTCCGTTTTTAAACGATACGTACGTAATTACTTTACGCGCGCGACGAAAAGTAGAAAAACTAAGAAAGAATCTTCGAAAGTTTCTTTTAAAATAATTTAAAATAATTAATTAATTCCTCTACCCCGTAAATCTTTCTTCGCATATCGTGAAATAAAAGATATAATATTTGAAGAAAAGATAAATTTTTAAGATTGACTTTCAAAAATAAAAATATATATCAGAATGGATTAATTTTAAAAAGTAATAAAATTAACAAAGAGATAATACCGTGAAATAAAAGGTATAAAAGTCAGAATGGATTAATAACAAGAAGTAATAAAATTAAACAAAGAGATAATATCATGAAATAAAAGATATATAGTACTATATATATTTTTAGAAAAAAAAAATATATCAGAATGGATTAATTGTGAGAAGTAATAAAATTAACAAAGAGATAATATCATGAAAT